TTGTGTTTCAGACCAATGAAAAAAAGGCATAATTGACATGATATATATATATATATATATATATATGTGTATATATGCGTATACATATATATATATATTTATATATCTTAAAAAGATGTATTGTCTTCATTAACATATACTATAATTCGGTTGCTTATAAAAACAAATTCCCTCCTTAAAGTGCTGAAATAACATCAGACATTAAGCATGTATGAGTTGTAGTAGTAGCACGAAATTCAAGGTTTGTTTGTCTGCAATTGACAGAATAACTGCAACAAAACATGAAACAAATGATCACAGCAAAACAAAACAAAAAATCACAGTTTTATTTTATTTCTCCTCCGATGTTGCGCAACGCCTCGAAACCTTGGAGTCGCACGTTTCCACCAGCGAGAGACTTTCTGCTCATCCATCCCTACAGTAGTGTTTCTCATGTTTGTGGCTAAATAACTCTGTATAATAATAAACCTTTCCCCCCGCTCAAATATACGTATGTATCCGTGGCAACCTCACTAATTAAGATATACATTATTGATTTGAACTATGCCAGCGATGAACAAAGCGATCCAGAAGTATAGCTAGTAAAAAAATCCATTTCAATTTGGGAATTGGACGACAATTCAACCGCTAAAGAAAACCTCGAACCTCAGCACCTTAAATCACTGAACCTCAGAACCAGTTGGTAAAACCGGTCTTGGGTCTTGGGTCTAGACCTTGGGTCCACCACAGACTGGTCTCCACAAGCAGAGGATGGATGTAACTGATCAGGTGTAGCTGCTAAACCTGTGAAGACCAGGTGGGACTTGAGGAACAACCAATACCGTCGATACCAACGAAGAAGATCTCCGCGTGTCAGTTGGCACCAAACTGTGTAAAATGTAAAATACTTTTAAAGAACTGTTAAAAAGATTTTGGCCTTTTTTTTTATTCGCCACTAAAAATGCCGTTCGTCGTCTCGACCGTTAGCTAGCCGCAAAAACATCCTGCGTTCAAGAGTTTCAAGTTTGGATCCAAAAGCGCGCGTTTGGATCGGCTGGCTTCGTCTTGTGCTATTTTTAATTTCTTCTGTGTATACAAGTTCAAAAACATAAATGATGCTTAAAATCTGGACAATAAAATATGTAGTTTTTCCTTTCTCTCTTTTCTTTTAGTAAAAAACATTTTGTTTTCTTAAAAGGTAGACTGTGTTCATTAGCAGACAAAGCACTGGGCTAGTCTCGATGGGTTAGCGACACGAGGACGGCTAGGCTAGGCTACGCTAGGCTACGCTACGGCCGCTCTACTCAGCAGCGGCCGCCAATACAACAACAACACGGGAGAAAAAACACGATACGCACGCCATTATCTAAAAATTACAACTACTAAGAAAATAACAAAGCAGTCGAAAACCAATAATAACCCTCCCGCAAAAAACACCTAACCCCCCCCCCCCCACACACACACACACACACACACACATACTTGAAATAAAAACAGGTAAACCTACAGGTACACACACATCAGCCCCATTATTATCATTATAATTATGTTTTTTACATTACTGTACAGAAGAAGGGGGGGGGGGGGGGGGGGGGGCGGCAGGGCGGGGGCGGCGGCGGCGGCATGGGGGTGTGATGATAGAGAGACACACAAAATGGCGGAGTCGCTGTACGCCGAAAAATTGGTTGTATTCAGCGTTCTGATTGGACGACATTTAGGACCAATCCTGGCCCAGTGAGGCTAGCGCTAACCGCTAACCGGCTACTTAATGCGTACAATTAGCTTAGCTTTAATTTAGCAACCTCATATGACAACCTTTGAAATGTCCTCTCATTTTTCAGAGAGAGAGAGAGACAAAACAAAAAGGTCAATTAAAAGTACGTTAAGAGACTTTAAGTTAAGTTGTTGTTTCCCCATTCAGTTCCCTACGAGGTCAGGACAGGAAGTGATGCGGCGTTTGGCGCCGTGAGGACATTTTAAAGACATGAAATGGCGTTCACAGCGCCCATTGTGTCATGTGTGTCATGTGACGTTTTCCTCAAGTAAAAACAGGATTATTAACGGTTTGATTATTATTCAGGCGATATTGCTTTCCGTTTCAGTAAATCGGGATCCAGCGGTGTGTTGCCATTGGTCGATATTGTTAGGCCCCGCTCACTCGAACTCGATGGTGACGCAATCACAAAACCTGGTCTGTTTTAGAGGAGTTAAAGTGATTTGAATGTGAAATAAGTAACAAAAATGTGCTTTTGTGATTTTGTTTTTGGCACGATTTGTTGAACAGATGCATAATATGAGATGTGCTTATACAAGGTAAGAAAAACGTACATTATAATTTCATGTTGTCTTTATATAGTAATAAAAAAATAATGAAACCTGGTTAGAAAAGTTTGCTCATCCTCATAATTATAAATCACGACGATTATAATCTGTCATCGAAACGCCGATCATTGAGCTTTTCATTTGTCCTATTGTGCCTTCGCTAACCTGAGTACCGAATCCACGCCCCCCTGGTGGACGGCTGGAGGAACTGCATCCTCTCCGCCAGATAATCAAACCTTCGTTTTGATTTCTAAAATATGTCCGTTATACTGTTGAATCTGCAATATCGTAATACTGTAATACTGTAATACTGTCGTTAAAAATGCAAACTGAGGAATAAAGGGAATTTTTACGACTTCCTGTTTATCAAAACACAAACACAAGACAGGTGCTGGACAGTCCAGTTCTGGGTTTAACATACCAGGTTTAACGTACCGGGTTTAACGTACCGGGTTTAACGTACCAGGTTTAACGTACCGGGTTTAACGTACCGGGTTGAACGGTTTTCCTGTGCATGCCAACGCAACGGCCTTCCCAACCCTTTCACTGCCGCCCAATCACAGCCTCCCACACAGAAGCAGGGAACCAATAAGAGAAGAGCGATGGTAAACATTAAGATTACATTATGATCCTGTAGCATCTTTACAAAATAAACACGTTTTCTTTCTCCTCTAGAATTAGGTGGGATTATGTGCTGTTACTTTACAATAAGAAGAGGTAAATAAGTCTATAAACACGTCTATCAAGAGAACAACGCTATACAACTACATTAATAATACTACGTAAGTCAAGTTAAGATGACTATCGCCTTCACAACGTTTATAGGACTCCTATTTTTTAGAAACAAGCTCCATCTTTCCAAAAAAAAAAAGAAAAAAAAAAAAAGGTCAACAAACCGGTATCCCCTCTTATCTTAATTAAATCATCCAATCACCACAAACTGGCTCAGAGTTTACACAAAAAAAACCCCAGGATTTAAATTTTTTTTTTTTTTTTAAATACATTAAAATGTTTTCACTGTGACTGCTGTGATTTCCATAAAAAGCTAAGGACACGATTACTAACCCACGCACGACTCTATGGCACCCATACATACATGTCCATGCATGCTTAACACGTGTTTTGGTAACATGCCATGACCGCGTCGACCGCGACATCTCATCAGAGAGCGAGACACGAAGAGAGAGACAGGAAGAGAGAGAGAGACAGAAGTCTAGGAGAGACAGACACCCGACGCATCCTGCTGTTTAAGGTGGAGGACCGCCTCCTCCGCAGCCTCTGATATCTGAGATACTAGGACTGATAATTAATTAATTACTGGATGAATAAAGTGATGATGTCGGCACTTTTTTTTCTTTTTTTCTTTTTTGCAACACACTGAAAAGTTATTCACTTATTTCGTGCTGTGTGTGTGTGTGTGTGTGTTTTGCGTGCTGTATACGCGTGCTCATGCGCAGCACAGACGTGTTGTTAATGTGTTCGTTTATTAATTGAACAACTCGTTAAGAATCTGCGAATCAGCCAATCGCGGCACCAGTTATCTCCATGGAAGTAGCAGACGTGACAGCAGAGAGCTTGTAGGACCCTGAGAAGATCTATTGGGTTCTCCTGTGCTTCGGCAAGAATGACCAATCAAAACCAAGCATGGTGTGCGTGCGTGTGTGTGTGTGTGTGTGTGTGTGTGTGTGTGTGTGTGTGTGCAGGAGACTTGGACCCAGCGGTACGCGTGTGTCTGGTAAATGGACTCCATATAAGGGTAGCAGCTTTAGAGTAAACAGTCAACAGGGGGGGAGATTGTTGTTTTGTACAAAAGATGTGGAAAGTAAAATAAATTTAAAATAAATGATAAGCATTATTAAATTATGCGAAAAAAAAACAAAAAAACTAATTAAAACACCTCTAGGTTCTTCTCCTTATGCTCTAGAGACGACAGAGAGACAGAAGAGGAGGTTAGGTCAGACATAATAAGCCCTTACAATATGTAAAGGTCTCCAGTGGCTGGGACCTCCCCCACATTGCATTGTGGGAAAGTGGGGGACGAGGTTGGGTTGTGGACAGACAGACGGACGGACGGGTGGTCAGATGGGGTGAGGATGGGGGAGATAGGAGGGGGGAGAAGGGGGAGGCTCTACGCTACGGTGGGGCTGCTGGGGGTGTTGTGCGTGTTGGTGGAGCCGTTGCTGCCCTGCTGGATGGTCAGGCAGACCTCCTCCTTCCTCTCCCTCACCTCCTCCCCCTCCTTCAGCTCCTCCTTCTCCTTCAGCTCCTCCTTCTCCTGGAGGGGCCGCGCCTCCATGCCCTCCTCCGGCCCGGACGCCATGGGGGCGTAGCGGCCGGTCCGGTGCTCCTTCAGGGCCGGACCCCATGTGGGGTGGGCCTTGCAGGCGTTCCTTAACCGCTGGTGGGGGAGGGAGAGGGGGAGAGAGAGGGGAGGGAGGGGGGAGAGAGATGATGATGATGAAGAAACAGGTAATGTAATGATGTAATATCGTATCATGAGGTCCTACTTAGGACTTACTTCCTGTCCCTGACTTAATAGGACCATCGCATTAACTCAATAATAATCATTTATTAATTATATTATATATATTATATATTATATATAATGGCGTATATATTATATATTATACGCCATTTGCTGGAGGCTTTTATCCAAAGCGTCTGGCATACATGTGAGTGCATACATGGGTGGTGGTGGG